CAAGGCCTCCCCCGCTCACAGCCACATGAGGATAAAATGAGAAAACGGGGGTCTGCAACCAGAAAGAGGGTCTTCGCCAGATCTCGACCATGCTGGCACCCTGATCTCAGACTTCCAGCTTCTAGAACTATGAGAAACAAATTTCTATTGTTTATAAGCCACCCAGTCTATGGCATCTTGTTATAGCAGCAGAACGAACTAAGAAACTCCCCTGTGGTCTTCTACTTTATTAACATGTCAGGAAGAAAAAGAATAGTTTCCTCTCTCTGAACCTATAATAAAATATATAAACTATAATGGTTAATTTATCAATGAAATAAAGGAAACAATAGTTGAACAGGTAAAGTGCATGTTCACATAGAAAGAGGAAAAAAGAACCTACACCCAGTTCCAGAATGTTCCTGTGTCAGAGTGAGAAATGGTCAATGGTGTCACCTGACACAGTCTGCACACCTCCTGTGTCTTTATCTTTTCATCCAACAGAGACTTTAATAGAGATGTTCTGACCTCTGCATTTTACAAATGGAGAATCTGAAGCTTAGAAAACTTATACTACTTTTTTAAGCTCATACAACTAGCTTTTAAATGAAAGGAAAAGATACTAATTCAGTGCAAGTAGTAATCAGTTATACTAGTTTGTGGCAATTCTTTAACCATGAACCTGTGTGCTTCTATCTCTAAAGTCCTGAGCATGTACAATGCACAAATTAAATAGAAAACTGCCACTAGACTTTATAAACTTCATAGACTTTTATATTTTATTGGCATAAAAGTTCATGAGCAAAATGTTGTTTAAAATTTATACTTGCAAATATTTGCATTAAAAAACAAAATCATCATAAAATATTTTAGACTTCAATAAAATTAAGACTTCAAACTCAAAGCTATTGGTTTGAATAGTTCATGCCAGAAATACTAAGTCTCCATAAGACCACTGCTATATGATCAGATATAGATTTTCAAATAATTAGAATATGTTTCTCAAACATATAATTTTCTATCTTGGACTCCAAATTTGACTTGCATAACAAAGTTGGAATAATAGGATGGATGAGGAGTAGTATTTTATGCATAGAATTATGTAAAATAATACTTAAAAGGTGACTAAGCTCCTATATGTATTAAATTAAGGAAACCTGATTTTAATATTATTTACAGTTATGTTTGCATGATTATTTTAGAAAAAAAGATAGGATCTGATTTAAATTCATTCAACAAATTTTGAAGGCAAACTTTATGCTACATTTCTTGTCTAGAGCACATATTTCAAATCTTTCCTGATTTACAACCTGAAGAACTGAGCAATGGATGATAAAGTCAGAAAACCTAATACTATATATAAATGGTTAAGCCTGTCACTTGATCCATAAGTCTAAGCTACTCACAAAGAGCTTATTCTAAATTATTAATTATTTGAAACCAGTAGAATATTTTTAAGGTCAATTTTGGGGAAAAAAATGTTAATTAGTGCTTTACTACATTGATACAGCTAAGGAACTAGCATATTCAATAATTTAGCAAATAATATCTCTATGATTAGAAAAATGCAAACATATGGAGCAAATCTAGAGTTAAGCAAAGCATCTGTTAAAGATTCTTATGTAAGTAGAGGAAACATAAAGAAACTGAGTTGAAATATTATACAATTAGACGCATCTGTCAGTTACCAAATTATCGAAGAATTATAATTAATCGATCACAAACAACATTATAGAACATTTACAGGTACTAAAAAAGGATCAATCTGTAGCTTTTTCCAAAACAATTTTTCTGTAAATGTATACATAAAACATAGACATCTAATTTGTAAATTATATAAAGAAACAAATTACAGCTAATTAATAATATGCTGTATTTTATATCAAAAAAGATAAAGACTGAAACACTAGAAAAAACTAATAAATTTAAATTCACCAAACACAGAAGTACTACATATGTGTGTAAAAGAACTCTACACAAACTCAAATAGAGGCTTAACAGCATCATGTGTTTAAAAGAAAAAATGGCTTACATAATTCTATTTAACTATAAATGTCATATACATCAACACCATGTAGGTGCAGCCAAAAAATCAAGACCATCTACATTATCAGAAATATCATATCATAACATAACAGGTCCTCTCTAATCCAGAAAGACCATATGTATAGCACAGATATTGAAGTCAATTCCGTACATTCTCTCTTCCGAGAAGGGACTATCAATAAAGAAAAAGAAGCACTTGATATTACATCTTATGAAAAGTGGTAAAAAATGTAGAAAGGCTTCACTGATCAGAGACTTAAAAGGATAGATATTAATTATCTATGAAAACATCATAATGACTATCGCAGAGATATATTAGATTTAGAAAACTAAGTCCAATGTATGAACACTACAAAAAGTTGTATCTCACAGTACCATGGAAAGCACAAACTAACACTCTTTTCACTAAACAGTGAACAGAAGTTCCACCTTATATATTTTCATATACTTAGTGTTGACAGAATGCCTGTCAAGTAAGCACTCAATAGTAGAGATATCGACAAAACTAAATGGAAAAATTAGTACTGAAGTATAAAAACAGTGTGTACAGATAGCAGTTTCTTTACTTAGGGCATATTTGTGAGAAGTGTTTCCCAAAGTTTGTTTTACAAAGCTTTAGTACTATGACTTATCTATGGTTAAAGAATTATAGGAGAAAAATGGAAAATTGCATACCCTTTGTCCCCAAATTGTAATACGAAATACTCATTAGTATGTTAAGGATTTGTGAGAAGCCCTTCATTAAAGAAGTCTGTTAAACTCTATTCACTGATGCTTCCCCAACATTTTAACCACAGCCTTTTTTAATGGAATATCTAATGAACATCCCAGAGTCCTTGGGTAAATGCTCTTTAAGGTGGAATTATGCTTTGGACAGTGTATAGGGCAAGTAAGACCAACTCACACCTGCGTCTTTGAGGACAAAAGTAAACTCTGTATTTTCAAACATTCTCACATGTTCGAAACATCTTCACTATTGTATTTTTAGGAAGGGACAAGCAACACTTAAATATGCTATATTAGTTTTCTAAAATGATGAGAGACATATCGAAGGCCTTGCAAGACTATCTTCTTCCCACTTTGGGAAAACTTAGTAGAGGGCTGGCTTACCGGGTTGAATTTTTCTCAAAATAACAGAGGTCAGACACCAAATAGTAGGCAGCAAAGGCTGGTGCTTTCCAAGAAGGCCACTTTTCCCAACAGAGAGCCCGCTCACGTACTTAGTCTCATACATATTCACTGTAACCCATTCCATAATTATGTAGAGCATGGCAGGGTTAGGAAAATAACCTCATTGTGAATATGAACATTACAGGGGTTACTAGGTTTAACAAATAAAAACACAAGCTACCCAATTATATTTGAATTTCAGAATAACAACATAGAATTTTTAGTACAGGTACGTCCCATGTAATATTTGGGACATTCTTACACTAAAAAATTATTGTTTATCTGAAATTCAGATTCAACTGAGCATGCTATATTTCATCTGGCAACCATACTCGACCATAGTGGAATGTCAGCTACAGTGTATACAGGCCTTTTTTGCTTAGCCTAAATCATAGGACAAAGAGAGTTCCAGGGATTGTGTATGTTCTATCATGTCTCAGCTTTTGAGATTTACTCAAGGAAATCAAACTTATGTCTGCATAGTGTAGCATCAATGTGTATCTATGACTCTTCACATGGCACATAGAAAGGACTGATTTATTTTTCCCATCATATAATCCAGAGTACAACCAAATGCAATCTAATGAAGGGAAAACAGTTCTGAATGAAGATACAGACCTGAGTTCTTCATTCTTACTCTGCCAGTTATATGTCCTTGGGGAAGCTTATATATTTCTTTAGATTTTGGTTGTTCTGACTTTAATAGACCCTATAGCACTAACATTTTATGATCCCATGATCCTAAGTAAACTAAACTCTGCCTTGTTCTTGATCACTAACCGAGGTCATGCTTTCATACTTTCGAAGTACAGGAAATGACCTTAAAGTTAAAGAAAACCAAGGGACTGGCTTAAAGATAATCCTTATATTTAATTAAATCCCATTTGTTTCAAAAGAAATATTGTTACTTTCAGGCTAAAAAGGCACCTTAAATATTTTATCAATAATAGCTGTTATTCATCAACCATGTAACTTTCGGTATCTGTCATATCCTGGACAGTCAGTACCAAATATCTTTTTTTCCAGACCATTAAAAAAACAGTTTACTATTTCACTTCCTCAACTCCTATGTGGTACCTCAAAGGAACTATAAAGCTTTCTGCAAATTCCATGAAAGGTATCGATGCACAAGAGGGAAATCCACCTTCTCTCACAGATTCTCTGAATAGTTTGCGTTACATAACATTTCTCTGCACAGAGTTTATAATGCTAATTCATTTTGCCTTCAGCTTAACTAACTTATTGCTATTAAAAAACAGCAACTATCTGAGTTTTTCTCTAAATACCATGCCCTCTTGTAATCAGAATGTCAGGCATTGCTTTCAAGTGATTAAAAATTTGATCATCAACATCTTTAGCATAACATAAAAGAAATAAGTGATTTCAAATTATACTAATGGCTAAGAGTTGTGACCACAAGATTGCCAGTTAATTATAAAAGTCCAGTTAGATTTCAATTTCAAATTTCAAATTCCAAATTTGAGACATACTTAAAATTATTTATTATCTGAAATTCAAATTTAACTGGGCATTCTTTTTATTTGCATATCTGACAATTCAGTGTGGACTACCTAGTATGAGATAAATGTCAATCTTGTATTTTTTTCCTAATCAAAACATGTTTTGATTTTTCTTTTTTCCTCCAGGGTCGAGAAGTTCTACCTACTACAGAAAAGAATATTTGAGTAATTTTCAAGCCATATTTATTCTTATTAATATCTCTTTGCTTTTAACAAAATCAGGCCACACCATTAAAACTGTAGTCTACAGAACATATAATCTGAAGAAACCAACATTTTACATACCTGTGGATAATATATGAGAAGGCCACATAATAAAATATTTCTTTTTTTCACTTCCTTTGCAAATTCCCTAATCTGCATTAGGTTTTCCATTTCCTGACCAATAGGTACTGATTTATGATCAAGAAAATGCACCTGAAAAATAATGTAATAGGTAACAATTAGAATACCATTCCCTTCACTTTCCTTTGAAAAAAATATAACATTAAAGAAGCTCAAAACACGTAGAATTATAATACTGTAATTATTTTTATCAATTTGTGTTAATTTCTAGTTAAGCATTCTAAGCCATAAATATTTAATAAGATCAATGAACCATCCTTTATAAATAGAGGCAGTAAACATTCACTGAGAATACATACTGAAAAACATAAAGTTCTATTTGAACTTATGTCAGAGTCAAATATAGAAAGAATATATGATTTCATCAATTTGTCCAACTTAATTCATAATTTACAATTTGAAACTAGGCTACAAATATATATATGTTAAGAAATTAATTATATCAATAAAATTCAAGAGTGTTTATCTAATTATGAACATAAAATTTTTAGAATTCCTTTCAAAGTAATTAATAATTGTAATTCTAACAAATAATAATTTATTTCTTAAAGTAAGTCTGGAATAATTTTACATAGAATTATTTTTTAGCAGTGTTACATAGTGTTCTTGGAATTATTCAAATGATAATCTTTTAACCATTATTTTTCATTTTAAGGAGCACAGGAGGATCTTCCCTCATTTCTCAAAAATTATTTAGGTTTTACAGTACTGTTTGTCTTCTACAGGATATAAAAGACATATAGTGTCAAAATTAACAATTTAAAATGTAAATGTAAACAAAATGAACACTCAGAAATCTGTGTATTCTTTCATGGAACCAAATTTTTAAAACTTTCAAGATTTATAATTTGTTCAATTATGCATATTTGTTAACTAGAAGCATTTTAAAATATACTCCAACCCGATATTTTTATACTACTCCCTTCCCATCCTCTCTGCCCATTTATATGGAAATATTTTATTGTGTTCTTTCTATAACACAAGGAAATGAGATTCTTTTTACACCCATCACATTGCATTTTTCCTTCTCAGGGAAAAGTACTTACTAGCATCTATTTTTAAAGAGAATTTTGTGATGACATGTACACACACACACACACACACACATACACATATGTTTTATATATATAAATTAATAGATACTCAATAATTATTTCTTGGAACTTTTCATTAAATATAGTTAACTGAAAACATACACATATAATTGCTTCTTCCTAAAACCTAAAGTGGCAAATTAAGACTTTTTTCCTTAAAAATGCCCAATCCATAAAGAAACTGAAAGAAGAGATAAAGAAAAGCAAAAGAAAAAAATAGGAGGTGGGGTAATAAACAGCAGAATGAAAAGTTTTCAGGTTTTTCTATCTGCTGAACATCTGATGAAAAGACGATTAGACCCTATGACTCACCTTTCCTTAGCTCTTTTTCCCTGAAATTTCAGTTTTATCAGGCAGCACTGCTTATGGTAAAAGTAACTCCGGACTGCTACTCCACAGCCAGGCTGAAAGAATTGTAATGAACTATAAATACTAGACCTTACTTCTGTGTAATTTAACTTGGAACGAATGAGGTGTTTCCCTAGCTGGGACCTGGAAGCTAATGCCTATCAGTTGTTGCAAAAGATGTTCATTCCTATGTATAGTTTGAGCCTTCAGAAAGGATGGCTCATACACCATCTTTCCCTTGCCCTTGAGAAGCAAAGGTGCAGGGAGGAAAGGGGGAGAAAAAAGTCCGGATACTAATATGAACTGATGAACTGAAGAGCTAAGGCCGAAGAAGCATGTTCATCTTTGCCGGGACCTTTTTTCCTGTCCTGTAGTCTTTTACAAAGTTGAACAGAGTAGTGCCATAAAGTTTTCTAGTTTTATGAACTTGAAATATCTAGCTAAACCTAAGATTTCTGGTAACAGGTTTGCCATCAAAAACTGAGCTACTTCTCCAAACTCAAGGCAATTCTGGAAACTGCCGTCACTGTATACATCTGAAACCAGGGGACTGTCTGAGGGTAAGATTCTCTCCTGAGCCCATATTGACAGATCACTATGAGGCCCCATACCAGCTGGACTGGGGAACAACACTGCTGTTTGGTGACTATTTAACTATTTTAACTGTGTGATTACTTGTATTAGATGCCATGAAATCCCAAGGGACACCATGCCCAACGTACTTTATATGGATGGAATGTCCTGGAGTTATGCATTGTACAAACTGGGTGACCTTATTGCTAGCCAAGATAGATAACTAGATAGACATTTCTTGTTTAATACAACATAAGTTTTCCTGTCAATGTTTGAGTTCTGAAAAATCTCATCCTAAAATAAAGGTGGGAAGAGGGTTGGTGGAAAAAAATAGCACAGGGAGCAGAAAACACAAGACTAATTTATAATTACAGCCTTTGTAATCACAGAAATTTAAAATGCACAAAAATGAAAGAGTGAAAATACTGGTAACGTGTTAAATGGAGAAGGAATGATGGATATAATAAAACTGGGAATGGAGTTTTGCCAGCGAGGTTGGCCCAGAAGGAAATTCAATCTGCCAGGAGCTAGGGAACCTCTATAGGAAGTCGGAGCTGGGAGCAGGTGCTCACTCCTAAGAGTATCCTAAAAGAGAGCCTGAAACAATTTTTTTTTTATGTAACTTAATTACATTAAATGTTAATTACAGAAGTTAATAATAACTTTGGGAGCCTAAAATGGTGGAACTAAAACTCTAGACAAGAATAAATTACATTGAAATAAGAATGCTCAATGGATAATTAAAGTGGCTGAATCTGGTTTTGTTTTGGAGAACAGAAATTAGATTCTTTACACTTGGGTAACTTGTAGCTAATTAAGCATATTTTAAAAGTAATGGTCTTTAATTAAAGCTACATATGACGATACTTTATAGTTTCTGAGCTTGCAGAGGGAGAAAGAATTATGCATATCAATGCAGCAAAGCATAAGAGGAAAGTAGCAAACGAAACAACTGGCCAACTGCAACAACAAAATAAGATTGTAGAAAGAAACCCAAGTATAAAACTAATAAAAATAAATGTAATACATTTAAATTCATAACTCATAGATTTATCAAATTGGGTTTTTAAGAAAAATCTCACAATATGCTAGTTATAAAGTTCAAAATAAAAGGATGAAAAAGACATTCTATGCAAATACTTCCAAAAATAAAGTTTGTAGCAATATAATTTGACACAGTAGGGTTTAAGACAAAAACCATTAACACAAATAAAAGAGGAATAGTACATAGTAAAAAACAAAAATTACAATAATCATAACCTTATTACTAAGAACATAGATTTGAATCTATGTTCAAGCAAAAAAAAAAAAATTAAGTTGTAAGAACACAATTTCCTAATCCAGAAACATAAAGAGGTGTCTTGCTGCACTTCTCTTAGAAATTAACATATCAATCAAAGATTAAAAATTTAAAAAAAGAAGAATGTCATAAAGGTTTCCATTTCTAGTGCACAGCTGAGTTCAGGGTTTCTTCCTTTGCTTCCAACATTCTAATTCTATTCCTGTTTTCCTAGCTGTTCTTGTCTAAGCAAAGTTGCATGACATGGCATATGAGCTGATGCCACTTCCACATTACATGGACTTAACTCCCTTATTTACCAATCACATGGAAGCTAATTTTTCTTACAAAGACATGTGCTTTGGCAAAAACATTTAAGTTAAAGTGAAGACATGATACAATAAGTTTTATAAGTTCTCACCAAGTCATGAGTGGAAGGAAGATTTTCACTCCAGCTATACAGATCAATAAGCTACAACATACTAGCTTCTTGGAAAGGAAAAAACGGCACTTAAGAAAAACGGCGCTTAAAAAAATCAGTAGGCCAATGCTGTTCACCACGGACTCCAGGAACTGTCGCATAAAAGTGAGTTCTAGGCAAGCTATTTATAGATCTACTAACTACCTATGTTAACGAACCAAGTACTTAAATTATAGGGAAACTTTAAGATACACAGTAGTAAAACACAGGAGGTTCATACAGGTCCTTTTCTTGAATGCTTAGGAGGTGCTGAACATTGTGCTAGTTGAGATAATTAAATTTTAAAGAAACATATGGATATTGACCTAAAGAAATGTATAACCAGGTTGACAAAATTCAAGCATGAAGAGGTAGGATGCATCTCAAAGTTCTTTCACCAGATTTGGGGGGGTGGGGATGGCTCATGATATATGTAAAACAGAAGATAATCTCCAGCAGACGTACTTCCCAACACCAAAACCATGAAACTGAAGCATATACTTTACTTGTGCTACTAATTTTGAACCTCTAAAATACACCAACTACTTATGAGTTCCAGAAAAATTTTCAGTTAATACGATAACACAATCAATTTTAATTTTAAAAACAAGGCAGGTTTATACAACCACAGCAGAGGGTCATGTTAACTCAAGAGAAATGTAAATGTTTTTGCCTTAAGAAAACAAACTTAAATCCTGGACAGGCTTGCACCCATTGAAAGGTAGCAAAACATTTCATCTATGTTGCGTTCTGCAGATTTGCTTATAGCTAACAAGTAGATATTCTTTGATCTCTTTTTTGTACTGTTCACTAATTTGCTATATGTAAACTACAGTAAAAACAATATTTCCCATTTAGGATGCCATTCTACAGTCCTTTTTCATTTATACATCAACAAGATAAGGCTTTTACCTACCCACCCCCCCGCCCAAAAAAAATGTCTATTTTTTTAAAGGTAGAAAATTCACTCCTATAAACTGGTAAACTGCCTAAACATTTAACATGTGGGGAGTTTCATGGCTCTGTGGGTGGGCCAGGTTTCTGGCACTTGAAGTTTGGAAAAAGCTTCTCTGTGTCTCATGTCTTCTATGTTCAGTTGTACACATGCTTTGTATTTGCCTAGTAATCATTTAATATATTCCTGGTCCCAGATGAATTCCAATTGATTTTTTAATATTTTAAAATGTGATTTTTTTCACTTGTCTCTGAGGACAGGTACATTAAATAAAGGGCAATAATTAATATCATATACAATATTCTTTAAAATATAAGGAATGATCCCTAACCACACATTTAACATTTCTGTTTCATTTCAGAG